TTTCGCTGAGTTGGAGTTGTAAAAGTTTTCTGTGGGTAATTGTTAAGCTGATAATGAACGACGCCCTGAGGACTTTTATGAAATGTTCGATTAAGGTGACTCCAAGCGATGTTGGAAGTCAAACACAGTCGGAACCACCTTGCTATTCTTCAGGTTACCCAGATACGCCATGTATGTTGAAACTATTATCACAATTTTTTGTTTTTGGTGCAGTAGCTGCTCATTCGCTACGAATGTTGCCGGTTTTTTACAGTAGTTCGTTAAGGTACCACACGAGAAAGCTCAATGGCACCTCATGGGGATAACGATTCAACTCCTCATCGTAGCGAAATCAGTAACGATACAGTACGGGTAGCTCCTGTGTCGGGAACGCCATCAGCGGTTATTGGAGTGCCAAGATATGGTGAGTCGATACCATTTTTTGGTGATGTTTTCAGTATATCTTAGACTACACTAGCTTACAGTTTCTAGATGGAACCATTTTTTTATCCATAAGTTTAGTCTACCTTGTTGCCTTGTAGGAGGGGTTTTGGAAGTCTGGCTTCACTCCATTTTGTTCATTTACTACTCCCCTTTATACTGACCAGATGTATGTAAATTGAGTTAAGTGAGATGAGTCACCTTTTATTCGAAGGGGGCTGTTTTGTTTTTTTTTNTTTTTTTTTGTATTTTTTTTATTCCGGAATTTTTTTCATATCGTTCATCCGTTTCCGTTCGTCTCAGCTTTTGTGTAACTCATTTTCTCACTATTAGTTTTCTATAAGAGTCAACAACAGTTCTCCTCTGCACTAACTCCTGTCTACAGCATCCTAAACATGTTATCTCTGGCACTAGGGCGATACAAGGGTGTTGTACTCCGAAGAACACAGAACATCTCCACGATTCTCTTTCCGATTTCCCTTCATTTCAACCATTTGTTCAAAACGTCAGGTTCACGTGACGTCCTTCGGTTTTTGCTGTACCAGTGATATGTGAAGGTTGAATGATGATTTAGCTAAAGTTCTCCGAATTCCAGAGGAATCGTGTCGATCGCAGGACCACGTTCCAGCTGTCGCGCAGGTTGCTCCCCTGCGACCCGAAGTGAGACTTTTTGAATATATATGACATATGTATCGAGAAACACTATTTATTTTCAGCCGGAATCAGTTCAGTCTGCTCCAGTTTCGACACCAACGGCAGCTACCCAAACACCATCACCGATCGACATAGTTGCGGTAGGTCTCATTCATTAGATTGGTTTGCCTATTACGGAGAAATCTGTGTCTCTTTGAAACGCCATTGTGGTTCAGAAGTTGATCACTGGTTTGAAATTTTAGGATCCACCCACCGAGGAAGCCCATTCTCCTCAACTACTTACATCAAGATCGCCTACAGTCGATACCGAACCTACACAACAGCAGATGACTGATGATGCCGACGTTTCCGTTTCTATTCATCTCCCATCAGAATCTGCTGCCAACGATACGCCCAATGATGCAGCGACAACACAGCCAACTCGAGCAACCCCTGATGTCTCTGCTACGAACGATAGTATCCTTAGTCCTGTTGTAGTACAAGCCACAAGTACACCAAATGCTGTACAAACGAACAACGAGAGGTGAGAGCTGTTTGGTTGCAATCTCCAAAAGCATCTTTCAAAAAGAAATAATTAATTCCTGTTAATGGGTAGGTTTTTGTGATCTGCAAGTTTGCTCCAGAAACTTGTAGGACTAAAACAGTAAATAGCATCAAAAGACGATTTTCGTTTATCGGGAAGCGAAGGCTTCGTTTCATACCTTCTGTGGGTTTGCAAGAACACAAAGCAGTAAGTAATGTTTGATTAATGAGCGTATTTCGCTAGCTGCGTCGCGACAGCACGCTTCGGTTGCACCTTAGTTTTCCCAATATTTTTACTCGAGCAGACTGATTCTCATCCTTTTTTCTGGTAATATAATTTAGAGCAGTGCCAAGAAGTCCGTGGCACTATCGGTTGGATTTTCAGAAATCAAGAACCTCACCAATCGCAAAGTTGGGAACCGAGAAACGAACGACGCGTGACACCCTCAAGTACTCACCCTAGTATTGCCACATCTGCTGCAGATCATAGTGACAGTACCACTGGGTCGTTGTCAGCACGAAATGGTCCCGAACGCAGAAGTGTTCAAAGCCGTTACAAGAAGTTTAAAGAACAGTAAGTTGTTGTAAAGTTTGCGAGTAAAAGTAAGATGAACTAATTATGGTTGTTAAGCTTCTCCGGAATAATGGGACGCTTGGATCAATACAGAGCAGAACCATCTCGTAGCGAGTTTCGGTCATCCTCCCGGACTGGGAATCCATTAATGGCGAACATTTCCAACAGGTTTGCACCGGATTCAATAATCGTTGTTACTTATATGTATTGTGTTGTAATATGTGAGGGTATGGATGCAGTTCTTGGTGCAAATCACTTGAAACAAGTGGGAAGGCTGATCATTTGAGTTGAGTCCGTGCACTTTCTCAGCTCCCTATTGACACGCTACTCCCTTCCGATAGACAAGTACCGGTAGGGAATCAGCCCAGAAGTTCAGCATGTCCACTACTTCTGTTATATCGATATTATAGGAACCCCCAGTTTATCCCCCACAAAGCTAGCTACGTGAAGAGGCCATAATTTTTTGTCCCGATTTCGCTCAACGCTGTGCAAACTGGTTCTCTTCATCAATCAACGTATACAGAACCTTTCTCTTCTGAAGTGGTTCAATGGAGGCGAAACCGTGTATGAATCAGTTGACGACTGGTTACATCACTGCAAATGGAGCTACCATTTCTTGTCATTGTCCAGTTGCAGGCATAAATAAAACCCCCTTGCCATCTTCTATTGATGACTTCTGTACACAAAGGCAATCGGTGGCGACTGCCACGTGGCAAAGACCTGTTGGCCTCCACCCAGTCGGCGATTGCTGTGAGGGCGTCTAGTTTTGACTTTTTAGAATGAGCTCTTTTACTTTCCGTTTTCTGGCCTGTATGAGTAGTCATAACTGGTACAGAATTTGGAAATCCTTCTTCCATTTGTGGTCACAAAGGAGTTTGATGCTCGTCTCCAGAGCAGACTTCAACGAAAGTGTTCGTTGTCAGACCGTTGGCCCTGAAATATTGTCATAATTAATGGCTAATATGCTGTAAAAAAAAGGTTCTGAATTCAAAAGAGAGTGTGTTCAGCGGTTTTGAATAATAATTGATTGAAACCGACTACTGGAATCGAATTGTGCGCGCGACGTCGTCGGCCATGCGCCATCTCCGCAATTTTTCGTCGGTTACGCGCAAGTTACATTTGGCACTGTGCCAACCACCACCAGCTTAAGCTTGATTGTGGCTGGTTTCTCGTGATCGCATCTCTTCGTGCTGATGGGTCGTACAAAAAGTTCGAAAGCATCGTACCGAAGGCATCCGAACTCGTCACGAATGGAAGTTGCAACCAGTACAAGTAGCAGTAGCCCTGCGATGCGGTCGTCTTCATATCGTGTCCATGCTGCCAAACAGTCATTTCCATATGAGGTTCCAGCTGCCGGGTCTACGACCCCTTATGGTCTGCATGTTGTTGGGCAATTGCCTCGATATCAGCTCCCATTTGTTGGACAATCATCTGGATATCAAGTTCGAGCAGTCCCAGAGACGCCTCCATACAGACTCCAGGTTGTTGGACAATCGTCTACAAGTAGCATTCAATCTGCCGGACAGCCAATTTCATATCGAGTCCCACTTGTCAACACTATGTACTGCATTTTGTCCTTTCTTTGTTTATGGAATGTTTTTTGTTTTTTTAGCCTCGGACGACGTTCAGTATTGGCAGCTGCCAAGAATATAGGAGTACCAACTCGTTCCGCTGTAGATGCAGGTGTGTTATCTGTTGTGAAAGCTGATGAAGGTATTTTTATGGGTTGTCTCGTTAACCTTGAAGTTTTTTTCTTTTGTTTATTTCAATGTTGTATAGGAATTACGCTAATTCAGGTAGCGTGCCATCAATGTATCCCCATGGTGACCCATCGTTGAGCCGTTCGTCTGATTTTAACCGACCAGCTGTGTATGGTGACGATTTTGTGGATGCCGCAAGGCGGTCAGTAGTTTCATTAAGTTCTTTTCTAAGATTTAGTTTTGCTCGAAATTGTTTCGCGAAACCTTAAAATTTCGTGTTTAAATAGATTTACTTTTTTGTTATTTACTTATTAGAACCACCATGCTAAGAAAAATACCAAGACGGCAATAAGTGGCGTGTCGTGGGGCAAAGCAGCTGTTCGGTATTTCTCCGTTCTTTATTTTGCACTTATTCTGTATTCATTGACACGGTCTGAAAGGGTCCTGAGACTCTATTCAGGGTAATCGCATTTATCACAATAAATGACCATCATAACAATGGCAATAGTAACAGTAGCTTTGTACTGCTATGTGCTAACAGTATTACTAGAATTTATCTTTTAGTTCAAGAAGGAGTCGCCTTAGTCGTCCGAATAGTCGAGCTAAATCCGAGTATACTGTTGTTTCGGAGCGTGAACAATATGATTCAAGATATCCTCCTCCTCCACCGCAGTATGCAGGATCAGGGTTCGTTTGAAAATAGATTTCAAGAACGGAATTTAAAATTTTTCCAATCCTTTTTATGGATTTTTTGAAGAAAATTCCCATCCTCCGGTCGCCGTTCGGTGCAGAATTCGATGGGTGCAGTGCATCCACAAGAATATTATGTTCAACAAGCTCATATGTATAAGGAACGACGCAGACCACAATCGTCGTTCGATCCACGAGCAATGGAGAGGTAGGATTTGCAGAGTTTGTTGTCTAAAGTTGCTCCTTAGACTAATTTATAGTTTTTACTATTATTTTTATACTGTTGACAATGTTTGGTCTTTTTTGTTTGTTTACGAATGAGACGCATGCTCGTAGGAGCTGTTTTACCTAATTGAACGTATTTTTTGCGACGACAGACTTTTGACTTTTTGCCATGACCTTTTCGGTTCGACTTGAGCAGAAAATATTGTTGGAGAGTAATGCAGACAAGCTTCTCTCAAAAAGCAAATTTGGATCCCGAAATTGCCGAATCGGTAGTTTTTTTCCTGCATATTGTCGTCTGTGTGTTTAGGTTCCAACGTGCCGGAGGGCGCTACGGTCATTATGATACGTATGACGACGCCCATAGCAGTGTTTCTGAAGAATCGGACTCGGATAATGCTGAAAGAGGAGAGAGTGAAGAGGAGATCAGGAAGTATATGAAAAAGGTAGGGCTCAGTTTCATGAAATAGGGTCTCAGGGGTTTCTCCATAGTAAGAGTTAAGGGACGTCTCGGTGGACCTGGAGAATCGTTTCATTCGATGCCTGTTGGAGAAGAAATGTACTATTTTGGTGCGATTCATCTCGATCAGGTAATAAATCTTTTCTTATTAAATGGGGTCAAGTCTTGTTGATTGTTTTCTATTAAAGTCGAGCATAAGTTAGTTGGTTACAGTTTACTTCTGAAGTTTCTGCGACAAAAATGTTTAGTTGTTGTTTACAACACGTTGTTAAGTCCCTTCTTACGCTCCTGCGCGTTTTATTTCGATTTCTTTTTGGCACAATCTCGAAGTTTCCCTTTCTTTGTTGTTGTTTCTGTGCGCTGTTTATTTGTCATTGTTGTTCAGGCTCGTGTTCGTTCTATTCTTACCAACTTTCCGCCACCTGTGGAGTATCATCGATTGCCGCCAATCGAGAAGGCTGCCTACCTCTTCTTTGTAGCTGTGTACAAAAAGCAGTATAATGATATTGGTGATTTCCATCGTAAGTTCAATCGCGAATACTACAAATACACTTGCGATGGCGATAGTGATGATATTGCTTTGTGGAAGGTGAGCCAGGTTTGTTAACCAGTAACGACTTATTTCTAATAGATGTTTTTCTTCAGATATGTAAATCCATGCAAGAGGAGTATCATGCGAAACGATTGGCGGAGTCACAGAAAGCGTATGAAGCTAGCCAACGTCAACTGTTCAGTGATGAACGTGAAAGTGCTGATGGGTAAGTCTGTGATTTGCCTAGAATTTATCATGCTCACAGTTATTTTTTTCTATTTTGTCGTGTCCATACAAATAGTGTAGTGTTCGAACTAAGATTGTCGACTTGTTAGCTCAAACTGTGATTATTAAGCGAAGAAGGCAATTTTGTCCCCTTAAGGGATCGGCCACGCCGTTTGAGAGCTAACTCTGCTCCGAGTTTGTAAGTTACAATGCTCCAATTTAAGCAATAATGGGAGGGATTTATACTGCATCTTGAACGTGACTGGAAAATGAATATTGTAGCCACACACGTCAGTTCGTGAATGAAGAACGGTTTTGCTGTTGAATCTTCTTCTAACTGTGGTTAGGATGTTAAATTTGGGTGTTAAAATTACCTCTTCGCTGGCGGTACCCAAATTTACTAAATTCGGAAGCAAGTACGGCATGGCCTGATGATGACTGGTACATTCATCAAAAATGATGAGTATAAATCCCACCCATCAACTGCTGTACTCTTCCTAATTGTCTGGCCTTCTGTGAAGTTTTTGTACATTCTGGGAGTCTCGGGTTCTCTATGTTGAAATTTGTTGTTAAACTACACTTCCCATTCCAGCCTTTACAGATTGAGTGAGCGGGCAAGTATGGACGACAACCATGACGACAGAACGTCGGATATCCTGAGCATCGATTCCAGTCAACGAGGTAATTGCTTTGGATGGGATTCTCTGATTATGCCTTTCAAGTGCACAGAGAGAATTGTTTTAGCTCCACTAAAACATCGTGTACCACATGCTTTTGTGTCATTCGGTCCTGGCGGGAAAATGGTTACGGTACATCCTGATTTGTCGGTATCGGTTGTCCAAATTGATGATATCAAAGCTGTTGTCTCGGATCCTTATACTACACGCCTCATCGACAGCGCTCAAACATTCAAAGGTAGCCTCCGTTTTTAATGCTTTGCACTATTTGATTCGCCAAAATAGGGCATTTAGGTCCACTGCTCATCGGTCAGACACCTACGCATTCCGTTCGGCTGTACATTGAACGTCAGATCAAAAGGATTAAGAACAGCGAAGTCGCTTCGGAGAACCCTCATGCCAACGATGTTATCGATTGTCTACTTATTTGGCAGTTACTGGGCACCATTGTGCAGCAACAAGGGGTAAGTTGAGTTTTTTTCTCTTCTGAGGTTCAGAAATATGGATATCTGACTAATTTTGTCTTTTATTAGCGTGTGACCGGACCGGACGTGGCGCGGCTACTGGTTGAAGTGAGCGACTCGGTACCATCGAGAGCATCGTCAATGACACATCAGACCCACATTTCGCATCGCGACAAGAGTGCGACTCCAGTGGATAGCGTAACAACTGCCATCGTCGGTCCTGTGCGCAATCAGACCATCATGGATGCTCGTGCCTATGAACGATTCACAGAGCTTCTTCTTGGCGGGCACATTGTGGTACGTTACTAGTTGTGATGGTAACTATTGTAATAATTAATTGATAATAGAAAGCTCAAGATGGGTGGTTTCCGCTAAATTTTATACATATTGGGATGAATTTTTGAGTACTGGCGAATACGCGTAAAAAATCACTTTATATAGCTTATGTGCTACTAGGATTACTTACCATTCAGCCCCTTTTTTCTTGGACAATCCGTCAGAAATGATCGTAAGGTCAATTATTGGATCAGAAGGATAATAAACGCTGCAGTAATGATGTAGTTACACCTCGGTTTAGGAAGCAATCGACAGCGCACTCCGTGATGGCCTCTATGCGGATGCCATGGTACTGGCTAGAAGGTTGCTAGCACATGATGCCGCCAAGTTGGCTGAAATCGAAGAAAGATTCATAGCTACCCGTTCTCAGTGCAGTCCTGTAGTGACCCTGGTGTCTGTATCGAGCAAGAAACTGGTTCCGATACTGGTAACGTTTCTTTCTCTTCGTTCGTTGGTCAAGCTTTTCAAAGCGTTTGCTCTCAGATGAATCCAACCGGTGATGAATCTGGCAGTTGGCGTACGCACGCGGCTATCATACTGGCAAATCTGACGACTTCGGAAGCTATGGAAACGGTGGGCTACTTGAAAATTATGCTCTTCTTAGTACTAATCGTTTATCCTCCGTACAGGTTTACGATCTTGGAAAGGCGCTAGCCAAACGTGAGTATAACTGCGCTGCCGATTTTTGCTTCCTGGCGGTATCTGTCCTGGCTGGTATCAATCCGTTTGCTCCAATAGCTTCATCGTAAGTTTTGCTATGAACTGCTTCATCGAGTTTTGTTAACTAACTTGTTCTTCATTTCTAGAACTGCGGAAGGTGAAACCCGTCAACATATCAATCTGATTCATGCCTGCCTTCCCGACGATGAGGCCGCCAATGTGCAATGTCGTTATGGGTGCGTTTTTATCATGTACTTATTCCTAGCAGAGTTCGGCTGTGCCCGTGGGAAACTGCGTGGGAGAGCTATATCGCCGTTTATCCGTGATTGTGTGATGTGATAACATTAATAACGGTAATGCATGTAGTGGAGGGTATGTAGTAGCAGAAAAGGATGCGATGCCAGCAGCGCGAGCGGATAGAGGGGGATGGGAGAGTTGACAAGTCCGAGAAAAAGAGGGTTTCCAGAAAAAGTTACCTGCAGCCCTGCTCTATCCACCGGTGGTTCTTCTATGAAGAGTTTTTCATTGTACTGGTTCAGGTTCTCTCTGGTTGATCTACATGCAACTGAGATTTTCGACTATGCTGTACGACTTTCTGATGTTAACGCATATTCACCTCTTGGAGAATCGATCGAATATCAACGAAAGCGTATACAGTATGCGCATCTCATAGCTGAGTTCGGAGGTTTTGCCACGGATGCGTTCAAGTGAGTGATCGATTAACATCGAATACCGTACCAGAATAGCATTTTCCGCGTTTAGATACTGCATGGAAATAGCACGTTCGATTTGGAATTATTACCATCTTTTGTCGACTGCTGAATTGACTTCTCTGTGTGATTTGGCTGACAGGTATAGGGCGTTGTTTAGTATGGTTCTCAGCTTTCTGTAGAACTTAGTCTCATTTAGACTTCGCTATGCTGCATCGGCGAGCGAATGGGAGACATCGTGGATTGCCAGTATGCGTTCGATGATCCAACAGAAGCAACAGTATCAGGCAGGCGAGATAACTCAGTCCGACCTTATTGCCAATCAGCAATGTGCTCCACCTGAATCACAATCTCCAAAATCTACTCAGTCTCCTGTATGATTATCCTTTCTTAGAATACGATCTTCGACAACCCATTTGCTTCCAGTTTCAGACGTCCATTTCGAATGATCAATACGCTTCTCCACTAAGCGATGCGACATCTCCGTTTGGCAGTGGGCCGGCTTCTCCTCAGCAAGATTTTGCTTCAGAGAACAGGTAAATTTCACCAGTTTCATGTATTTTTCAGTTTATTTGAAAATTCGATTTAGATCAAGGTCTGCATCACTAACTTCTGAGGCACGTGACTGGCATGCTCAGCGACAAGATCCGCTCCAAATGAGTTCTATGCTGCCACGATCTGTAGGTGAAGAAAATGACGAACGCGTGTCACGGTCACGAACTGTTAGCAACGCTAGCCAACAAGGCCGTGTAAGTCACGAATTTGCTCCTTACCTGATCGCTCGTACTTAACCTAACCGGTGATTTTATGTACCTGCGTTGGGCAGTTTGAATTTTTCCTTTTTCCCTCCGCGCCACGTTGTTGAATGATCATTGATATCGTGGCTTTTGCAGATCAGTTATTCCTGACACAGTAGCCTAAGTTATATGCTCTGTTATAGCTTGATATACATATGCGTCCGCCTCTACCGTCATATGCAGCAGCACAGGGATATGGTAATATGGAGGATCCGTCAACAAATTCTGAAGATACCAGTGCTCAGTCAACAACGGAAAGCACGCCTATTCGCACATTGGTGAAATCCCCTATAATTTTTAACTCGAAAATACTTTTGATGCCATTCAAGTCTTCGTTCCAGAACCATCAGACTGAAAATCTATCGCTAGCATCACCACCTGTCCCGGATTATCAACGAATTTCACAACAACAAATGGTAATTTCGTTTTCTTTTTTCTCGGTGACACTTTTGCTTGTATATGAGGAGTAATTTAGCCTCCGCAACCGGCACACACCGCACAATCCAAAAATGCTGCACCTTTACCACAGAACGGATTGCCAGAAACTAATATGAAGGTTTTACTTATGAATATCAAGAGCTCTTTCATTTTTTGCTATCCAAAAGTGGATTTCTTTTCAGAAAAGTAGTTCCAGTCAGGGTGCGAAAGGTTTTCTGAGCAATATAAAAGAAAAACTTTTGAAATCAATCCCAAGTGGTAATGAGATGATTCTACCGGACGATAGCAAGCCTACCGTAAGTTTTCCCGTCGTTGTACCGATTGTGATGTCCAGCCTTATATTCCTGTACAGATTGTGTGGGATCCCGTGAAAGGTCGATACGTGGGTGCTGGCGTGGAAGAGGAAACAACAGCTGCTCCACCACCAAAGATGGATGGTGTTTCTAATGCTCAATCAGGCTCCAGTGGTGGTCTACGTGCTGCACGAACAAGTGGAGGTAACATTCATCCTAGTTTGCGGTTGAATGTAGTTTTACTGTTTTCGTTCCAGGTTCTCGCTACTTCAATCCCTTGAATCAGCAAGCATCAGCAAACGGCCCGACTTCTTCTGCACCACCGGCCGCTCCAGTGCCAGTTATGCAAGTCCCAACTACATTCGGTTTCATCCCGACCATGCCCGGTGAGTGTATGGAGCATTTTCTTCATGGTGTGGAATGGAAGGACGTGGTTTCGATTTTTGCTACTCAGAAGAAAAAATTGTTCTTCTGTTTCCTGAATCACCCAGTTTGTTTTGCTTTTCCTAGGATTTTGGTTCTCACGTGATTTCCGAACTGAATCAGCCTCTATACATTTCGTTTCCCGAAACTAGATCGAAATATTGAAATTAATTTATGCAGTTCTTCAAAGGAAATCCTTTCAGATGATGCTGGAGAATCCGTGGATCCATTCAGCGGCCAAGCAAATCCGACCATACATGGTGTTGAACTAACCCAGGCTCAATAAGTTAACGCTGCTATTAAGGGTTGTTTGGTGTTTGTTTTGGTTACTAACACCAATGTGCAATGGTCGCTAGAAAATCGCTTGTTTTTTATTCCGTGTGATTCTCTATGTCAAGGTGGTTGTGTTTTTTTCTTTTCTTTGGGTGAATGGATTAAAAAAATGGGGGAAAGTCGTACAAAACGTGAATACAATTAAATTCTATTCGTATCGATTATCAGAGAAGGATTTTACATTTTTTGTGGTCTTAATGTCGACAGTGTCATCAATTTTTCTTTTCTATGTGCTCTCGGTTATCATCTTGCATATAATGGGCGGTGTTAAGGTGTAAGGTGTGTGATTTTGGTTCTATTAGGCAGGTCGTTTATATCCCTCGTAGTGAGAGAGGCGTCACACATGAATTTATTTTCATACTATGAAATGCCAAGCCAAGTTTGAACTTCTGATTGTGATCGTTATGACCGTATATATTTGCTATACGGTTGTATTAGCTGAATTAATAATATTATTTGTTTATAAGTTGTTTGTTGTTATAGTGAAAATAAATTATTTCGCAAATTTCACATGCTTCAAGATGGTCTTCGCTCGCCTCCATGTGAATACTGTATGTATCCCGTTGGCAGCTGTTTTAAACACCTAGGTTTTTCTGAATAAATTTATGAACTTCTTTTCTTTGTTGCAGGAAAGTTTGCGGTTGTATTCACTGCTCATACTTTGAAGCTATTTTATCCTTCACATCAATCTTCAACATAGATAATGTCTTGGAGAGATGGGTTATTCCCGAGCTCAGTTTGAGTCCTGAACCGCTGCGCGTCCATCCCTTTTTTTGGGTCGTAGCTTGTGTACAATACCCCACTTGCAAGAAATGTGGGAGGGAGAGTTAATAAAACTGGTACGTTTGTAGTATAGAGCAAGTTCGAGTTCCACTTAACCTTGACATGAGATTTGGCTTGTTAGGGCTAGTGTTAGTCCTACCAAGATGTAGTACTCTTTTATTAATCGAGTTAGGAGGTCTTCTAGTTCAGATGACTGTCTTGTGTATTGTCTGGCCTTATGTAAGGGACTGATGTCAATTGATTTTCGACTTTCAGGCTCTTGAAAAAAAGAGGTAACGTAAGCTCATTAAAGTTTTGTTATTTGGGAAGGCCAGGGTTGCATGAACAGGTTAGCACTGCATTTAGGAGAGCAGATGCGGGCATGTGCTTCTCTTATGTATTGATTTACCATGACAAGTCTCGTACATTAGTGGCGTACGTTCATTCGATTCTTTTTACTGATACGATACGCTTCTGGAGGGATACGACTACCTAACTGCGCTCCATTGATGTGCACCACGGGTGCGTTTCTCTTGCATGCGAAATCTTGTGGGCAGACTTTTAAGACATTCAGAGAATTTTCGTGTCTGTGAGTTCCAGCCAAAACGCTGTTGTCCATAAAGTTCCAGAATTTTCATAGCTGTGTATGCTATTGTTAGTGTGATATCTGTACAGTTTGGAATCTCGCCAAAGGTCTTGTAAATAGCGGCTGGCTGGCAGCTAGAAATGGTAACTTGACCGGGGTATTCTAGGTACTTATGTGTGCTTTCAGCGACTCTGTGAAAACTATATTCTAGCTCTCCTACTATGACAACATTTTATGCTCGAAATTCATATCATTCATGTATATAACCCCAACTGACCTTGCCTTGATGTTTTCGTTTTCAGATCTGAAGGGGGATGGGCAGCAGCAGCGCGCAAGCATCAAGCCAGTATGAGGGAGTACTGCAACGTAGTAATAACTGTAAGTTAACTCTGTTTGATGTTTTACCGGTATATCCACCGTCCCTATTCCGAATATTAAAGGCTTGGTACTTCTTCGTCAGCTTCGAAATCGTGTAACGCGTCTGCATAACCTTTTGTTTCACTCGCAACCACCGAGCAGAGAAACATGGCATGCATATTTTCGCCAAGTTGATCGAGTGGACAAGGATCTCCGTGATTGCTTTGAGTAAGTATTTCTTTATTTGTCGTTCACGCACTTTTCGTTCATGCTCCGTTAACTTTATTCCCTTCTTACCGTTGAAAAGTAATGGCTAGCAGGAAATAGTGTTTTAATCATATTTATAGTCGTTATACTTTTTTTAATCAATTTCCTTTGCAAAGGCTTGGCAACTGTCTTTGGGGTACCGTCATTTCAGAATAAGACTTGGAAGTAGTATATTACCTTATT